CCAAAATGCAGAATGATATACACCTCCATATAGTTATAGTAGTACTTACTTGTGAGGAGGTAACAACTGTGATACCCATGTCTTTTGCGAGCCGATAAAGTTGTTCTTCAACATCAACGCTCGTAGCACTGCCATTTATTCAAAAAAATAAACAAGGAAAAGGGAAAAAGAATAAATAAAAAAAAGAGAAGAAGACATATATGTAGAACAAATATTAGATAACAGACATTTCTTTAGAGTGTAAAACGAAAAGACAAAAATGAATGCGTGTCACATACTTGGTGCATTCATCAAGGATGGCAAATTTAGGCTTGTGAAAAAATAGGCGTGCCTTGTAAAACACAAAGTATCAAGTCAGACAGCAAGCAAATCCTTGAAAGAGAATAAGAAAGTTCATGCTCAAGCAAGATTTGAAACTATCATATTTGCTTACCATGCCTAATCTCTGCTGTTCTCCAAGGGAGAGAGTGTCCTCCCAATTCAGATTAGCATCCCAACCACCTTCTTCCCTTTCCAAAAGATAACTCAATCGGACATTCTCCAGAATAGTTCTCAACCGCATGTCTAGAATATTGGTGTGCTCAGAAGATTTTTCACCTGAATTGGAACAGTTACAATTTTCAAAACCCGATTGTGGAAAAGAGAATTTTTTTTTTTTTTTCTAGGTTGTTAGAGCACAATTTAAAAGGACAAGGTGTCTATTATACATGCTAACAAGGTATGTAGACTCATTTCCCCAAACTTCGTTTCCCTTTCTAATTATATTTCATGAGATTAAATCAACATCTTTATAGTTGGATACTACTGTACAGATTAGCATTTGAATACTGTCTGGATGTCAAAAGTGCTTTGTTGCTGCTACAATATTCCATAGGATTTGGATCACTAAACCTGCATATTACAGTTGCACGTCCTATTAAATAAAGGCAAGATATGGCTTTTCTGGCTATGCTTGGTGCACTCTGCGTGGTGGCCTCTAGGAGGCAAAGATCAATTATTTCACAGCTGGGATCTGTCTAAGGATCTAGATAGTTCATTGAATATTTTGGTGATTAACAACCAGCGGACAGAAAGAAGAAATAGGTTTTGGCACCTGTACTTTACATGAAAGCTAGATTAAACACAAATCGAGAATTCAGAAGAACTGGTGTTATGACAGGAAATAAAAGAGCTTCATAGGGGAATGAAGGAACCCAGTTAGTCCACTCATTAGTTAATTTTCAAGGTCCTTTAGATTTATACTCGTTTTCCAGCCTATAAATTTGTGCCCTAATTCTGTACTGAAGCCAATTCTATATTTGGACTTCCTACTTTCATTTGCCAATGTGTAGAACCCCAAAACCCTAATTATTCATTTTTTGAAGGGATCGACCATTTTCTTTCACTACATAGCTCCACTCTTGCTCTTGTCATTCTCTTCCTTCCACCTGGAGTCTTACCTCTCTTGTCTCTATTAATTACAGATAGTTTCTTAATCATATCCTTTCTAAAATTGATTTCACTTAAATTTAACATTTCAAAACCTCATTTGATTCCTAGTTTCCTGAAATATGGGTTTTCTAATAACTACTAAGGATTGTTCATATGCTTATTACCACTTTTATCCTTCTAAAAATTCATTATACAATTATAATCTTTTTTAATAAAAAATATGAAATTGTATCTCTAGAACTCAGCATATGAAGTTTTTATTAAACATTGCAGAAAAGCATAACTTTTACTAATTTGAAAATAGCTCATTCTTTTCAACCTTGCACCTACTCCATTTTATTTATAATAGAGAAATTTGAGTGCTAGTGATAATTTTAATTCATTAAAATATCCATTCCCTTTAAAAGAAAAAAAAAAAAAAAACTTGCAAGTATTCCGTATTCTGTTAATGAGTGCAAAATATATATATAAACAATGAAATGAACACTTCAATCCCATACTTAATAAACCACGTCTAAATAAGAGAGAACCAAAAATAATAAGCATACCAGAAGCTGATATTATGAAAGAAATTCACCTTCTCGATACAACTTCAATGCCCTTAACTCAGCCTCCTCAAAAGATAGAGGATATATAATTTGATCCCTGAGTGTTCCCAAACATGTATAAGGCCGCTGAGGAACATAAAATACTCCACAACCAGATCCAACACCTTCTTTAACATGTTGTGATGGTTTAGTGATTCTTCCACTCGTGATGGGCCAAAGACCTCTAAGAACTCTAAAGACAGAACTTTTTCCACTCCCATTTGGACCTTCAAGCATTGCATACGCCTCAGATATAGATTTTCGTAGCAAGATAAAGATATAATGACTATGAGAACAAGGAAAAAAAAATTACACACTAACCAGTAACAAGCAAGCTTTTCCCAGGTACTATATCACATGTTAACTCCCTAGCCAATATCTTCTGTGATGGGGTGATGATATTAACTTCTGAGAAGGTAATGACATCTTCAGAATTAAAATCTCTCCACTTAGATGGTGACTGAGTGTCAGCTTCGGAAGCCGCTGAATAACCAACAACTATGCTTGCATGAATGAATAAATGTCAGATAACTCAATATAAAAAAAGGTAAATTTAGATTTATTCTAATTGAATTATCTGTACAACGATAAAAGAATATTCATTTAGAAACACAAGTAAGAAGATAGGCCTGACATGTTACAAAATGCAAAAACTTTTAACACCTGAAAAATTAAGAACGAAGAAAACTTAAAGAAAACTGAGTGGAAGTGAGGTTTTCTCAACGGGGCCTGTCTGTAAGAAAGATGGGATGTCCTGTTAGAGAATAACTATATATCTACATATGTCTGTTTCATATATGCCTTTGTAAGATCTTTATATTTTTTTTCATAAATATTATTCAGGTTATTTGTCAATGTTTCAGGCCACGGAAACCACCATTGCCCAAGGCATTAATTGTAAGGACCAAAACTTGTTTGATCAGTATATTTGTCTGCTGACGGAAAGTTGTGAGCAACTAATGCCCCACAAAGTTTTCCTTATCCAGTAACTGGTTAAAATAATATGGAAATGCAAGCCTGTCAATTTACAATATGCTTCACATCATAGAAGCCATCATCATGTTAGGCATTAATTTGAAATAAGCACTCTCTTGAATGGATTTCACCTTTGCCCCACAAAGTTTTCCTTATCCAGTAACTGGTTAAAATAATGTGGAAATGCAAGCCTGTCAATTTACAATATGCTTCACATCATAGAAGCCATCATCATGTTAGGCATTAATTTGAAATAAGCACTCTCTTGAATGAATTTCACCTTTGATGGAGAGCAGGAGATGCTTTCATGTAAGTGGTAACTCATAGGAATGTGAAAAATTCAAAATTATAGATACCTAGGCACAAGTAATAGGGGAGTAGCAGTAGCACCAAGCTAAGGCGCACAAATTTTATCAATGCATCTGAAACTATTGGACAAACTACACTTGAACAAATTCTATAGACATGATTGTTGTTAGGATCAATAATACCATAGATAAATAATTGGCAAAAGAGCCTTCAGTTGCTATAAATGGACACAGCCTCTCAGCAAGTGGCTAAGGAAGCCCAAATCTGACCCTTCCCAGACCCCACAATGTTGGGAACCTAAAGAAGCATACCACCTTCTTGTATTTATAACAATCCATTAGAATCTAACTACATCTCACTCAAAATCATTATTAACTTCCCATCTACAAAGAGACACAAGGAACAGATCTTAACTGTTATCCTGAAATAGATGGTCAACATCTAATTAAATAACAAAGCATTTAAGAAAAACTCTATAGAAAAGGAAAAAATTGCTATACAAGTCAGTAAGTTAAATTCATAAAAGTGATAGTCATTGAGCGAGGAAGATACAATCAATCTGAAAATGATGTAACTCTAACACGGTTGTTCAGGAACATAGAAAATGTACCAGATTGTGCAGCATCTAGAAGCTCTTCAAGCTCAAAAATTCTGTTGATGCCACCAGAGAGTTCAAGGAACTTTCTATGCAGTTCAAGAATGTCACCGAAAGCTAAAAAGCTTTGAGATACAACAGATGCTAAGAAACGCAATGCATGTGCCAGCTCACCTGAAAATGTTATAACATTTGTGAGATATATATATATATATATATTATTGTAAGTGCATCTTTACAATAATCACAAGTAAATCCACCTTGAGTGGATATTAATGCTCGGTCTCCCTTGTGTTCGATGGCATATAACAAGCTCAACCCCCAAGTCACATTATGTGGGAGTTGTTTCGTGGTAAAATCATCCAGAATTCCAAACAACCATTTCTTCTTTAAAAGAGACAAGGAGTGATCGAGAAGTTCTTTGAATTTTGATTCAACCATCTGTTTAGTAATAGAAAGGAAAATCAATTAATTTACACATATAACGCGTAAGTGGGTACTCAAAGTACAAACAATTCATAACAATGTTGAAATTTATTTGTGAACATGTATAAGTTTCATAATTTGTTAAGTTTGAGATGAAACAACTCATCTATAATGTCATTTGAATTGTGTGATTCATTCCTTTATTTATTTTTCTTTTAACTTAGTGATAAAGGAAAAGTGAATAAAATAATGAAGGGATACAAGAGAACACATCAGGGAGCAGAATGACTTGCATCGTTTCACTTTATATATGATTTGGACAAAATACTGAATTAGATCTGCTCAAGGAGATGGTTGCCTCCCACAGTTCGATCTCATCACCTTTATATACCATTAATTACTTAGCCCACCAATTCCAGCCAAAGTTTAGTCTCATACTCATTTGTTTGATTAGATGAGTACAAAAATGAAACTTAACTATTAGGAATATTTGTATCAAATTCATGGGCTGCATCATATAAAAACTAATCAATAAATCCAACCAAGGGGAAACAGTGCTTTAACAGTCTCAAATATAAATTTATATTTACAGAAATTCCGTAAGCATGTATGCAGCAAGTCAATGACGATTCTTTAAGATAAAAGCATAGAGTTCAAACAAAGACATGAGGATTTCAGGAGGCTTACAGCTTTTTCTCTAGAACCTCCCCCAAAGAAAGCAATAGATTCAGCATGAGCACGCAGTCTCTCGTGCATAAACCTAGTTTAAGAAAATTGTCATATTTGAGAGTGATGTTTACAACACTGGCTCAGCATCAGCAATATAGGAATCAACTAAAATGAAGTTACCTGAAGGTTCCTTCAAGTTGTTGCTCACGACTTGCCAAATCACCAAATTCAGGGGTAACAGCCCTCAAAAAGCCAAGACCCAGCAACATGTAAGCATACAATATAGCAACACCTCTCCGACCAGTCAAAAGCTTCATTCTCCAGGTGAACCTTGTAAATAGCAACAGCACCCAAGAGTAAGATGAAAAAAGAAAAATGAAACACCTAGCATTTGGCAATCCGCCAACAACAACAACAAAAAACCACCAATAAAAGAAGCCAATCCAACTTTCAGAAACTCAAATAAGAGGATCCCGAGAAACAAAGCCCAGTACAATTTTGAACTTAAACTAGGTAAAGAGCCAGAGCTCACCAAAGAATGTCCACAGAAGGCTTTACCATTCCTGTAACCAGTCCCGACAAGTCAGTAGTTAACTTTTCTAGGTCCTGAGTTATTCTCTGATCAGCATCTATCTTCTTGCTTGACATGTTGAACACCTACAGTATATAGCATTGACCATGAATCTGGTACCATTCTCATATTTTTATTTATTAAACAGCTTAAAAAACATACAAACGCTGCCAACAGATCAAAATAATATCAGCATGTGAAAAGATTTATGGATATGCACAACTTTAAGCAACATTTTGAAAAATCCTCAACCAAAAAAAAAAAAAAAAAAAAAAACACTTCCAGAATTAGATGAATATAGAAAAACCCCAAGAAAAGAAAATTGATCAAACATTTCAGTATGGCTACCTTATAAAATGCATTATTTCTTAAGTAATTTTTGAGTAAATGTTGAGTTAAACGAATCCTCCACCCAAGAGCCAGCCTGGCTGTCAAGTGCCTACGCAACAAAAACAGAATTCACATTATGATAAGAGGATTCTCACTTAGTTCCTTCATGAACCAAGTTTTAAACACACATATACATATACATATGATAAGAGCACCATCGGGTTGTGGCACACATGAAGTCTCATGATTAGATACCCTTTAAGGATGATCTCTACAAAAAATCAGTCAAATTGGAAATTGGTTGGTCATGTTCATCAGAATATACAGCCTCAACTAGGTGAACAAGAGTTTCCAATTTCGCTGATATTTTGAAGGGATCCTTGAAGGGGGCCTAAAAGAATAGATGGATCGAATACTGGAAGGACATGCAGAAGACAATGTGTTCCTTCCCTCTCTAGAAGTTTTGGCAACAGAAAAAGATACTCGAAAAAAAAAAAAAAAAAAGAAAAAAAAAGATATTCTGCAGCTTCAACATGTACACTTCAGTAAAGTTATACAAAAAGAAGAAAACATATTCCAGTAAGTTCAAAAACTATAAAGGTTTTCAGATAGTTTGCAAAAAATAAAAAATTCATACAAATCTATAGTGGTTAAGAAAATTTTAGAATCTATTGAATACCGAAATTACCTTAAAGAAGGTGCAATGAAGGATGATGCAGCACTCTGCAGAACACTAACGCCAATTAGACGAATAAAGGCTGCCTTATCCTGCTCCAAAACAAATTTCACAGTGGTTCCTGCATAAATTAATTAACCACATAAATTGAGAGTGTAACAAGGAATTACAAGATAAAGTTCGGTTTTGGCCCTCAATATAGCCTTCTGTTTCCCCAGAAGGTTGGAGTTTATCTGTTACTGCCAATTGGTTAGGCTGGAAAGTCGATGTGTGTTAGGTGTTCTGTTTTGTTCGGGTTTCGTTTTAGCATTAATGCATTTGTATTACTACTTTGTTTTCTTTGCAGTAAGTCATACTTTCCTTCGAACTGTACAGTTTTTCAGCAATTAAATTTGTCTTCTTTTCGAAAATAAACAAGCAAATAAATGAACCACAAAATTGCATGATCTCTCAAATACTCATATGCTTATTAAGGGAAGAGAAAATACCATTTAAGGAAGCAATACGATCTGAAATCCATGTTCTCGATACCACGAGAAAAGCAACTGCAAGCAGTTGTGCTCCTTGTTTATCAAGAACTGTGGGAATCTGAAATAAAGAAATATAACTTCGGGTCTTAAAGGATGGTTAGAAGTTAGAACACAGCCTGCCATAAATAAGATGATGGACAAAGGAAAATGAAGTGACAACCACAATCAGGATGCCTCTGTTAAATAACCCGCCTTCTAGATCTTGTTCTTTAATGTAACCAACGGCAATAGACTAAACTAGCAAATATTAGAAAACTTAGAAACACACAAGAATTATACTGGTTCGGCAGAACTTTTGCCTACGTCCAGTTGTGATTTCTCTAGGTAGAGAAATCACCGCTCCTTTGATTAATAATAGAGATTACAGAACTTTTGCAACCCTAGAACTAATCTCAAAACTCTTGGCTGTCTCTGGCTGTTTTTCCTCTCTTAAAAATAAGCCTTGCCATACCCTATTTATAGATATAGAGTTGGCTTACATGTCCCAAGGCTGATTGGATTCCTATTCCTAAGTAGATTAGGAAATTACACTTATCCAAATCCTAATAGACTTCTAGAAATCCAAACCTGAATTGAATAAGGAAACTGAAATTCTTTCCTAATCCCTCTAGGACAAGAATTGGTATACCTCTAATTTTCCTAAAACAATCCTAAACCAACTAGGACATATTTGACGAGCCAAAATCCTAACAGCCTCAATAAAAAGCAATACAACCAACAATCATCAAATATACTACAAAACAAGAGGACAAAAGATTTAAAGTTACAGGGAACAGAACACAATTTTATTAGCAGTGAATCAAGGTGAAAGGTAGTGCAACCTTTAGTCTTTTACCATGAATGTTATTTCATATTGTTATGTGACCTTAAAGATACATAATAAAAAAAATCTCAGCAACAGATATTCTTAGTAATTTCAGGTTATTTATTTTGATGGGTTACTGGAGGCATTGATGAAACTATTGTCATACAGAAATCCTTATAAATTGATGATATATGGAAGTAAATGTGATCTAGAGGAATTAAAATATACCTAAAAATGCCAACAATAGAAACCTACCATTTATCACTATGATGGCAGACAGCAGAACATCACATAACATTCATCTGTAACGTGATTTGAAGTAACAGAACAAAATACTCACCAGTACTTTGAACATGGCTGCTACTCTCAATGGCAAAGCTCGAGGATCCCTTTGGAGCTGTGGAACAAATGGATGTGTAACATTATGATCCTCGGAAGGAGACACTGCTATCACCTCACCGATGTAAGATTGTGCCTTCGAATTTGAGATTGTAGAATCCTTCAAATGAATTAACAAACAGATTTGTTAAACCAAAACAGTCATATATCCAGAATCAACATAAAAAATTAAATAACAAATTCACTCAGACCTTTCTAGTCGTGGCAAATGCACGTTGAACCGTCATTGCATCACTCTGTCGGGTCGTCTCAGACAACATCATATTTCCCCCACCTTCATTAAGGAGAGGAGAATCCTCCCTGGAATTATAAGGGAAAATTCTAAGAAAGAAATATCTACTATATCAAAACTAATAGAAAAAAATGGTGTAAGATAACAAAACTTGCAACCCAACCTTTTGAACTGAACACTCCAACCACCTTCACCATCCAAGGACAACACCACATCATGAAATGCAACTAGAGCCGGACGATGTGAGATAGTAATGCATGACGTTCCCATCGCTCGAACTTTAGCACAAAAACGTTCCTCCATATCAGTTGTGACAGCACTTGTGCACTCATCAAGAATTGCAAATTTAGGCTTATGATAGAAAAGTCTAGCCATCCCCAATCTTTGTTGCTCCCCAAGAGATAATTCATCACCCCAATTTATTTCTTTCTCAGGTGGATACCGGTCTAACAAATACTCGAGGTCAACCTTCAAAACAGAACACGAAAATTCCCGCCAATAATTAGGTCAGCATATAAACTTCTAATGGAATCATCACAATATTTAGGATCTACACATAACAAAAATGACAAGGAGGAAAAGGATAAAATGGAGAAATCACATTTCTCAATAACTCCACCATTCCACTGTGTGTAAGTGGTTCAACCTCTTGATCTACAGTAAGAGGATAAATCAACTGGTCCCGAAGTGTTCCAACAGCTGTGTATGGTCTTTGTGGTACATAGAAAATTTCTTTATTGAGATCAGTACCAACACCAGGTTTCACAATATGGCCAGATACCAAGGGCCAGAGACCTCCTAGAACTCGGAAAAGTGAGCTCTTCCCGCTACCATTTGGACCTTCAGTAAGATTTCAGTATATTATAAGTACTTATCAACATACACACACATAGTCATAGTAAAAGTTCAACATATCAAAATCAATAGATACTTTGACTTACACACAACACATATTATAAGTACAACATGTCAAAGTCAGCATATACCTTGACAGACAAACAGACAAACACATGCAGATTGAATCTTAAGGTACTATTTCTGCATCCCCCTAACCAAATCTACCCACGTTAGGATTGCTTGTTCTATAATGGCTGACCAGATGGATTTGCTCTTTGAGAAAAGAAGTCCGCTCCTGGAGAGGAACTTTAGGACACCCTCAGGGAAATGCACCTGGTGCGTACCTAATTGAGTAGCTCTAGAAGCATGTGTACAAGCACCAATGAGAGACATGATATTGTTTGTGAAGGCTTTGAAGCCCCAACACCATGGTTCGCAGCCACATGCTCTAACCCTCATAGCTACAGGCCCCA